TATATATATATATATATATATATGTATCCGAATACACCCTTCTGCGACGCGCGCCTCGGGTCATTCCTGCAGAAATTCAATTCGTTATACGCCCCTGTGCGCGTTATTTTATTATGTCCAGACACCGCAAAAAACCACACTGGGATGCGTAAACTTTTTCCTCGAGAACAACATCCAGAGTATTTCCGGTGTTGTTCGCCTTCTTTCTTCTTATCCTCTCAACATTATATATAAATGTCAAAGAAGAAATGTCGCCCCTTTAATGATAGAGATTTCAATAGCTCTTGAATACTAGAAATTATTAATATTTAGATAAATGGAGTTTGAGTAGAGTTAACATACTATTATTATTCACAGTTTCAAGTGTAAGTTGTACATACGTCAACGAAACTTTGAATTGAAGCCTTAATTGCATTTCTCCAAGTATAGAATTATGAAATCCAAGATGTAAAAATCTCTCACATATCTTCGTCACATAACTATTAAGTTATTTAAAAAAAAATTAGATCGCGCATCTACGACATCGTACGTGTATTCTTTTATTCTTCCTTCTCTTTCAATTTTCTATTCCTCTTTTATCCGATATAAATTTACACGTAGATAGAAAATCTGCTCCCGTATATTCCGAGGAGACTTTACCACTAGACGGACGCGCGTCCACGCATACATGATGCATGCTATCTCGCGGAGACAAAGGCTGACTGTCCAGCCACACCTAATGTTTGGCACACCGAATGTCTTGTGTAAATTGGCTTACCACACGTAGAAAGAGAGAGAGAGAGACAGACAGACAGACAGAGAGAGAGAGAGAGAGAGAGAGAGAGAGAGCAAAAGAAGAAACGTACAATTAACCTAAATTTCCGTCACTTCCTAGTTTATTCCACTTTAAAATCGACTTTTCCAGATAACGATATAGTTAAGAATTTTATATAATACTTTCAAAATGATAATAAAATTATGAAAAATTACAGATTATTCTAAATCACATTGAAAAATAATAATACAACAAATTTGATGACGATTTATTATCTGGATCATAAGTTATTTTAATAAATAGTATTTTTTTAATCTGTGCTCCAATAAAAATATATGGAAATGT